CTTTATCTACATTTATTTTGGGCTCACAGCCAGCTTGAGCCGGGACTGATAAAGATATTTCCTTTGAAGTTCTGTCTGGCTGTCGTCTGAGAACGAGCGAAGAGGGGGGTCAGAACAGCCACCCGTATCAATAAAGAATACAGGAAATGGGCATTGATTGGCTACATTGGGAATAGCAAAGCACTGGTGGCACAAGTGAAGGGAACAAGCCAATGGATCTGAATTGCTTGTTGTATGCTAGACGCAGTGGCTCAGTGGCTAAGACACTGAGCTTGTCGATCAGAAAGATTGGCAGTTTGGTGGTTCGAATCCCTAGTGCTGCATAATGGAGTGAGCTCCCGTTTCTTGCTCCTGCATGCGTCCCTCCTGAGCTCTGTTTTCACTGGCAGAGGGTTGCAGGAGGCCGTCGCAGCCGGAAGCAGAACTCGGGAGCCCATTTTCACTGGCAGAAAGCATCATGGGCTGGTCCCTCACTGTTCCCAGGGTAGCCCCGCGGGCCGGATCTGGCTCGCGGGCTTTGAGTTTGACACCGCTGTCTTATATTATACTGCAATATGCTGGCTGGGGAATTCCGGGAGTTCACACATCTTAATGTTGTCATGTTTGAGAAACACCGCTATACGGTCTATTTGCATTTTACAAGGTATGTAATATTGTGCAGGATATTGTACATCAGGCTTCAAGCTGTAGCTTGTTGAATGAAACAAGAAAAATCTGGTTGTAGTGAGATATTTTTTTTTCATAACAGTTTTTACAAAGTGTAAAAAGGAAGAGAGGAAGAGTAAAACTTTGGCCTGGTGACTGACCGACGTTGGAACTTGCATCATTATACTGGGACACATTTCTCTTCCTTTGTGAGTTTTTGTATTCTTATTGCTGTCATTAGTAAACTGTTTGCCCCAGCTCATAACTTTCAAAATTAACATTTTTTTAAAAAAAATCCATAATTAAATTTCAGATCAAATTCTTTATGCGAATCAACAAAGCAGACCAAATAAAATGGACTAAATAAAACAAAGTGGAGCTACAAAATAGAACACACAAATTAAAATAAGGTGTACAAGATTAATGTATATGCCTACACCCACACAAACACACACCATATCATACTTGCATGATTTTGCAATCGTTAATATAGGAGCTCTGCAAGCTGCAAAAAACCATTTGCAGCCAAGCAATCATGATAGGCAGTGAGACAAGATTGACGGCAACTGAGAGCTTACTCAAAAGAAGCTGTTTTAAGAAAATTTACTTCAGAGATTGAATCTTTTGAGGAGTGTCTAATGCAGTTGGCGATTGATACAGAAAAGGCCCAGTCACCAGTGGGAAATACCAGCATTCAGGTCTGCCTACTCCTGGCTGATCTTTTTTTTATTCTCTTATATATAATTACAAGTATACATTCACATAGTTATTATTCTTATCTATCTTTATCACTTTTACATATTTGTTTTTCTATATAAAAGGATAAAATATACATTCTGGATTGCTTTGCTTACAATCCCATACACCTATTTTGTATTATTACCCCCCTAATTTTTCTTTTCACCCTCCCTCCCTTCTCTGCTTCCTTCCTTCCTCCTCTCCTTTCCCTTTCCCTCTTCCCTTGCCTCTCCCCTACTCCTTTTTTCCTCTTCCCCTCCTACCCTCTCTCCTTTTCTTTCTCTCCTTCCCTCCTTCCTCTCCTCTTTCTTCCTTCTCTCCCCTTTCCTCTCTTCTCCTGGGTGATCTTAGAGTTACAAAGAGCTGGAAGGATTCTTAGAAGTCATGTAATCTAACCCGCTGCTCTGTGCTGGAAGCCTTCCTTGGGAGGGAGGGCAACCAGCCCCTGTTTGATATTCTCCAGAAAACAGAGAGTCATCCCTGGTGCTCCTGACTCATTGTTCAGCCCTTTAAAGCTCTTTTCCCCCCTTTTTATTTGTTTGATTGTTCAACCTTGCTTCTTAACAAGAGGCTCGAGATGTATTTGACATGAGCTGAGTATCATTAAATATGTCTTAATTGTCAGGGGGGAAATCCCAGGACAGTTGCTTTGATTCGCTGTGGATGAATCAAAGATGTGCCATCTCCCGAAAGGCAGGGAGCCGTGCCAAGATTGTTGTTTTGATGGAAAGAGGACCAAAACTAAGATTTTAGGCGGTGTGTTTTGGAGTCCGGGAATTGCCTTTTCTTGCAAGTAGAAAGCCAGGCTCTTAAGATAGCTTCCTGGAAAATGATGGAAGAAATTGTGAATGGGCAATATTTAATAATACATATCATAACGACAGCGAGAATAACATATGCACAAAATTGGAATAATGATAAAATAACAACAGTGGAATGTTATAATGAAAGGGTTAGAGTATGCAGAGAGATGGACAAAATTTACAAAAGAAATAAAAGAAAAGGAGGAAACAGAATATTAAATGGTATGGAACATGTATAAATGGAAAGAAGGATTGTAAATTAAGGACTGTATATACCGTAATAGTATCATATGTATAGACAAAGAAACTGAAATAAGGGGGAGGCAGAGGTACATTTACAATGAATGTATACCGAGGTGGAAATGTTGTACAGAAGGAAATTGCAAATATTATATATTATATATATATATATATATAATATTTGTCTTATTTAAAAAAAAACTCTTCAAGAAAATATTTTTTAAAAAAACTCTGAATGGGAAACAAGAGAATCTGAGTTTTTTCACTTTTCCCTCTCTGGAGAACTACAGTTCCCTGGTTTTGCCTGAGATCAAGATTGTCCAATGCCAGCCTACTGGAACCAGAGTGTTGGAAAATGATTGGGAAATCGAAAAGAGGGATTGTAAGGTTAAGAAACACAAACACAAAACTCGAGCCTTGGCATGCCTGGTGTGACCTGCACAGTGACTTTTCCTTCCTTCTTGAACAGCCCCAAAAATTGAAATTGAAGGGTGGAGTTGGAAGATTAGAAGATCGGAGTATTAAATTAGGATTAGAGCGGTCTTCATAACAACCCTGTAAGGTAGGCCCGGTGGAGGAAGAAGGGATGTGCTCTCGTTATGTCGGAGAAAAGTACGCCGCTCTCTGCCCCAGACCATGTTCCTGGCTGCCCCATGCTTCCAGGCGGCATTCAGTGATACAAAGAATGTGATTACCTCGTCCCAAAATGGAAGAAGGATCTGGGCTTGCTTATTAAGCTTATATACTATTTTTCTTCCCCCAAAACTGAGGCAACTTACAAAACTGCCCCTCGGTTTAATTCTCACAACATAGAATCCTAGGGCTGGAAGGGACCTTGAAGGTCTTCTAGTCCAACCCACAGCTTAAGGCAGGAGACATTATACCATCCGGGTCAACTGGTTATCCAGTCTGTTTTTGAAAACTTCCTTGCTTCATGAACTTCACAGTTGAGGGAGATGTGAACTGGGCCACCTCATTTCTAATTTAGTACTTCAATTACTCTAGCGCCACATATTTAATCTGTATTTTTTTATCTTTGTATCTGTTCCCCATGCTGGCTGGGGAATTCTGGGAGTTGAAGTCCACACATCTTAATGTTGTCATGTTTGAGAAACACCGCTATAAGGTCTATTTGCATTTTACAAGGTATGTAATATTGTGCAGGATATTGCACATCAGGCTTCAAGCTGTAGCTTGTTGAATGAAACAAGAAAAATCTGGTTGTAATGAGATATTTTTCTTGTAACAGTTTTTACAAAGTGTAAAAAGGAAGAGAGGAAGAGTAAAACTTTGGGCCTGGCGATTGACCGAGGTTGGAACTTGCATCATTATATTGGGACACATATATTTCTCTTCCTTTGTGAGTTTTTGTATTCTTACTACTGTCATTAGAAAAGTGTTTGCCCCAGCTCATAACTTTCAAAATTAACATTTTTTTAATGCTGGCTGGGGAATTCTAGGAGTTGAAGTCGACACCTCTTAAAGTAGCCAACGTTGAAAAACATAGCTTTATATAGTGGTTTTCCAATGTTGGCAACTTTAAGACGTATGGCTTCAACTGATATAAATTATATCTTATCTATATCATTTGTATCTTGTCTATATCTAATCTATACCTTTCATCTCTCTGTCTCTATATAATATATGCCGTCTCTATCCATTTCTATATATTTCTTTCTCTTTTCTCTTTGTCGTAGATATTAAAATTCTGGACCTGCGCAAAGTCCAACCAGGAGATGTTGGGTGAAGGAAAAAAGGGCAGAGATGCTGAGAGTGCCTGGGTTATATGTCCTCTCTGGGCTTTTGAATTTGAACTTGTATTCTGATTGGTTGTCATACTCCCATGGGGCCATGCAGGGGCAACTCTGTAGGCTGTCCTGAGTCCCAAGCTTGATTGACTCTTGCTGGGTGATGATGTAATGGAAGGGCTTTGGGCAATTCCTATTATGCTTCTGCCTGAAGGAGGTAGATCTTTGTTATGTAGTTATGTAGAATAGGCTGGCTCAGCCCTTAATGGCCCATTAACAAAGGTGGGGAGGGGGCTGAGTTTTTGTCTCCCTTTTAGGGGAAATATTCTATCCTTTTAATATTTCCTAAAATATCTCATTTTTCTAGGAGAGGGGAAGACGATAACTTCCTACAACCCCAAACACTGCAAAACACTTGTGTAAACTTTGCTATTCAGATCTCGCTCCATGTTGGGGGGTTTTGCGTCTGAAAAGGGGAAAAAACTAGAAAGCAAGCAAATGAGAAGACTGTGGTTTAATAAACCATAATTATGCCATGACTTTAACTGATGGCTAAAGCTGTTGTAATAGGCTTGTTTTCTCCTCTTTTCCGGACAGAGGTGGATGCCAGCATTTATAGGCTTCTATTTCCATTCATCGGATAAATAAAGGGTGATGGTGGAATCATTTAACAAGGGAATTGTATTCCTTCCATGTAATTGATCCCTCCTGCAGCTCTCCTGCCGCCAGATTCTTATTTATTTAAATGAAACTCTTGAACTTCATGGAAACATCAACATTTTTGTTCAGGGGTGCCCCTGCTTGTCCTGATTTTTTGTTTTTAATAGAGACTGTAAGTAGTGTCAGCAAAGCAGAATAACCTTAAAATAATTTTATGGTTACGTTTAGTTGGTTGTCATTATTTCTCAAATACTTTAGCTTTAGTTTAAGGGTTCACCCACAATTTAAACAACTTGTTTATTTAAATACCTATTGTTTTGCTTCCTGGCCTTTCCCAACAATTATAAACCAGCATAATTAAGGAGGTAGAATCAAATTGTTCTCTTTTTATTTTTTAAACATGAAATTACGTAAGCTTCTAGATCTTACTGTTAGGCAAAATGCTGGAAAAATCTCTAGGAAAGACAAGAAAATGTTGAGTGAAAATTCCTCAAAGTAAAGAAAAAAAATGACTCCTTTAATATATTTTTCTGTACTCATTTGTTTTGGAAAAATCTCTAATTCTCCCAACTTTATCCAGGGTAAAATCTGGAATTTTGTTGTCATTTTTGAGACGCTGTCTGTTTTCTTCAGGGGTTCAAGAAGCTAAGTTCTTTGCAATTTCCTTTTCCATTGCCGAGGGATCGATTGCAACATAAATTTGAGCCTGGAAGGCGCGGAAGACGGCGATGCCTGTCAGATTTTCCATGATAAAACTCTGCTCTCCGTTGCGCAGAGACCGTTGATTTGCCAGAAACCCCAAAGGGATTTGCGAGGCACATCAGCCTTCCCCAACCTTGCCTTTGCGTTATCTTCTGGGTAGATGAAGATCTTGGAGCAGTGAAATGAAGGCAGGTGATAGGCAAACTGATCCAGTGGAACAGCTTGTCTCCCAGAACATCGGACATAGAATAATAGAGTTGGGAGGGACCTTGGAGGTCTTCTAGTCCAGCCCTCTGTTCAAGCTGGAGACTGTATATCATTTTAGACAAATGAGTGTCCAATCTCTTTTTGAAAGCCTCCAGTGATGGAGCACCCACAACCTCTGAAGGCAATTTGTTCCATTGGTTCATTGCTCTCACCATTAGAAAATTTCTGCTTAGTTGTAGGTTGCTTCTCTCCTTGACTAGCTTCCATCCATTGTTTCCATCCATTGCCATCTGTCAGAAATGGTGTAGGGCAGGGGTGTCCAAACTTGGGAACTTTAAGATGTGTGGATTTCAACTGCTGGCTGGGGAATTCTGGGAGTTGAAGTCCATAAGTCTTAAAGTTCCCAAGTTTGGACACCCCTAGTGTAGCGTCTCCTGGTTGGGTGGGGTGTTGGACTAGATGACCTACAAGGTCCCTTCCAACTCTGTTAATCTGTTCCTCATCTTCCTTTTTGGTGATTTGGAAAATAGTTTGACTCCCCCCTCATCTTTTTGGGAACCCTTCAAATGTTGGAAGACTGCTATCCTGTCTCCCCTGGTCCTTCTCTTCACTAGACTAGCTGTGTCCAGTTCCTGCAACTGTTCATCATATGTTTTAGCCTCCAGTCCCCTCATCATCCTGTTTGCTCTTCTCTGCACTCTAGTAGAGTCTCAGCAAGCGATGGGTGCATCATCATTTGAGGTTTTAAGGAAGAGACTGGGGAACCATTTTTCTGGGATTGTGTAAGGAACTCCTGCCTTGAGCAGGGGGTAGCAGTAGAAGACCTCCAAGGACCTCCCAAAGCTATGATCCCAGTATTCACCCTGGCTTAAAAGGTGTCAATAAAATCTAGAATCATAGGGAAGCTCTCTGCTTAAAATAGGGTGGGTGCATATATCGTTTTAGACCTCTGCACATCTTTTCAACAAATTCTGCTTGGTTTTTAAAAAAATATATAAAATAAACACGTGAAAGGTTTCCTGTTTTAATAGGCTGTGTTTTTTTCAAGGCACGGCCTCTGCTACAGACCTAGTACTATCGTATGCTTGTTTCCTGGCACGCCTCTTCCTCATGTGGTGCAATATTTTCTCGCCACAAGGTTTGTGAGAGTGGTGGGTGCACGTTTGCCTACCAGCCAGGCTGCTTCCTGAATTAGGTGACCGGAATCTAATCGGGTTGGCTTTTCCGTTCAAAGTTCTCCTCTTTATGGTCCTGCTAGCACTGATAGCAGACTGAGATTCATCTCCCTGCAAGTAGAAAGCTAGCCCAGGAGAGAGAAGCAGGAGGGTTTTTCTCAGTGGTGAAAGATAAATTACTACCAGTTCGGTGGGTGTGATAGGGGAAGGATACTGCAAAATCTCCATTCCCTCCCCTCTCTGGGGCCAGCCAGAGGTGGCATTTGCCGGTTCTCTGAACTACTCAGAATTTCTGCTACCGGTTCTCCAGAACTTGTCAGAATCTTCTGGATTTCACTTCTGGGTTTTTTCCTTAAATGTTTTACTTGCAAGCGCACTTGGAAATATGTGTGTAATTGGTCTGTTTGCAATGTGTGCTTTAGGCAAACAAACAACATTTGCCTAAAATACACCTTAACGCAATTTACGTTCCAAAATAAGACTGCATGCGCCTTCAGTTTGTAACGATGTCATCTGTTAGGACGGTTCGTTTAGCTGTCTCAAAGAGATCCACCAGCGGAAAATTTATTGAAAGGTGATGGGGTGGAACCTTGGCAGGGAATGCAAATGACAGAGGGGCAATTTTATCTTGCAGGCCGATGCACTCCAGGAAAGCAGGCCTCTCTTATTGTGCAGGCTGCCATTTGCTACATCTGCAAAGCTCCAGAAGGCTTGGGAGTGTATCCTAGAGAGGGCAGGGAGTCCTTGACTTATGACAGTTCATTTAGTGACCATTCAAAGTTATGACACCACTGGAAAAAGTGACCGGTGACCATTTTTCACACTATGACCATTGCAGCCTCTCCACAGTCACCTGATCAGCATTTAGACACTGGAGAACTGACTCAGACTTATGACAGCCACAGTGTCATGTGATCCCTTTTTGCCACCTTCTGAGAAGCAGAATCAATGGGGAAGACAGATTCATTTAACCACCGTATTACGAACTTAATAATGGCAATGATTCACTTAACAACGGTGGCAAGAAAGGTCACAAAGTGGAGCAGAATTTACTTAACAAATGTCTCACTTAGCAACACAATTTTTGACTTTACTATGATTGTAAGTTGAGAACTAGAGACTGGCCTGGAGGCTAAAACATATGATGGACGGTTGCAAGAACTGGGCATGGCTAGTCTGGTGAAGAGAACAACCAGGGGAGACAGGATAGAAGCCTTCCAATAGCTGAGGGGCTGCCACAGAGAGGAGGGGGTCAAGCTATTCCCCAAAGCACCCGAGGCCAGACAAGGACTAATGGATGGAAACTGACCAAAGAGAGATTCAACCTGGAAATAAGGAGGAATTTTTCTGATAGTGAGAACAATCAACCCATGGAACAGAAGTTGCCTTTGGAAGTTGTGGCAGCTTCAGCACTGTAGAGTGGGGGGTTGGACTAGATGACCTACAAGGTCCCTTCCAACTCTGTTAATCTGTTAAACTACCTGTATTTTCACTCTTGAAAACAGAATGGAAAATTCCCGCATTGCCACACGTCTCTCCTTCCTTTCTTCTCTTGACTTACTGAGATGCCAGGGAAAACATTACGTCAATAATGGGTTTCTGTACACATAATGGGGAGAATGGAGAGGGAGGAACACTTTTCTTTTGTGTGGATTTGACATTTTCTGATTGTCTTGACTCATGTTCAGTTTTAAACAGTTTCCCACCCACCCCCCAAAAATTAAGATTCCTGTAAGAGTCTTTCCTCTGTATGTTGATTTTTGAAGGAATGGATTGCATAACAAGTACAGGGAGTTCTTAACCTATGACCACAATTGGGCCCAAATTTCTCATTGCTAAGCAAGATGGTTGTTGAGTTTTGCCTCATTTTATGACTTTTCTTGCCATAGTTGTTAAGTGAATCACTTGTTGTTCAGTTAGTAACACATCTGCTGCAGAATCCTGCTGGGGACCAAGCAACCTCAACAAGAGAGCCAAGTTTCCTGGAACGGATTTGATCCAGGTGGTCTGAAGTGCTTTCTCTTCTTTCTTTTTAGCTTCCTGCCGGCTGTGTCCAAAATGTCTTCGGAGTCAACTTCAGCCCACCAACGGTCTCCACCTCCCAGGGCTCTCCATCTGCCAGAAGGCCGCCGGACCAGAGACCGCTCTCCTTCCCCCATGAGAGGTTACCTGATCCCAAGCCCACTTCCGACTCGGAGGAACCGCACATTTTCAGCGTGAGTATGGAGGCGAGGAGGTGAGACCGTGAGTGGGAAGGAATGAGAAGGGGTCTAGGAGTCCTTCCCCATTGCAAAATTGTATAATTTGTCAGAAGAGTAATTTAGACCCAGCCTTAGCAGAAACAAGAAACAGACTCCTTGCCCCGAAAAAACTCTATTTATCTCCTGTGACTTAATGGCATTCACACACCGAAAAGTCCTGCAAAGAGTTAACTGCAGTAACAGACCTTATGAGTTCCTTGTGATAATTGCCAGGAAATCCGCAAAGCTGCAAATTAAGTTGTGGCAAGCAGTCTTTGTGGCACGAAACACAGTGAGCAAAATCTTCAGAAATACGAACTGTTATCTCCTACGACAGCCACTCCCCTTTCCTTCTATTTATTCCCCAGCCAGGGAAGGGCCATTCAGCGTCCACGTGCTTTGCTTCCCAAGTCAACTCCTTGTCCTCCGTTGTTCTCCTCTCCTAACAGCTCTGCGCATACATACATCTGGAACAGGCCACAGCTGTTCTTCCTCCTCACTCATTTCAGCCTCCAAAGGCAGCTGCCTCTCCGGTGGCTGGGAAATGCCAGACAGCTCTGGCTCTGCATCCGACACGGAGCATCCATCAGAGCCTTCCCCAAACTCCAGCACTGGCCCCAAGTTCCTCCTCAACCTCCGCATTGTCCAAGTCTATTGCCTGCTCCACTGACAGCTGGTGGGCCACAGCAGAATAAATAAAAATGAAATCCAGACCGCTGTAAGGAAAGAAGAAACATTTATTCCAAAAAGCAAACAGATTGCCATTAAGGGCAGCTGCAGAGAAGTGAGGTACAGCAGCAGGCTTTCATAGGGGGAGCTTGTCCAGGATGTGGAGGTGTTTGCTGTTTTTACTTGATTAACTTAGTTTCAGCTTGACTGTCAACTATCTAGTGGAAACACTGATTCTCAGGCCATGGGGGAGTCTGTTAACGTTTTAAGGGAAGACGGAAACAGTATAAAGAATAAAATATAGTTTGATATAGAGCTTCTCACAGGGCACCTTATTTTCCTAACAACTGAAGTGCACCTTGGATGCTCTTCCGTTGAAGGGCCCTGCAAATATGAGTTGCATTAAGGATGCATCTTTAAGAATGCTGAGTTTATGGTCAGGGGTTTGACATTACAAGTTTTTTTTTCATATGGACACCATCTAGAACAGGGGTCCCCAAACTTGGCAACTTTAAGACTTGTGGACTCCAACGCCCAGAATTCTGGGCATTGGAGTCCACAAAGCTTAAAGTTGCCAAGTTTGAAGACCTCTGATCTAAGTGTAGAGATTGCAGAGGAAGGGATTACAAGAGAATAAATTATGCTGGCCGGAGAATTCTGGGAGTTGAAGTCCACAAGTCTTAAAGTTGCCAAGTTTGAAGACCTCTGATCTAAGTGGAGAGATTGCAGAGGAAGGGATTACAAGATACTACACTTGATCCACTGCATGCGCAGTGGAGCTGCGCTGGGGTGATGGCTTGCATGCCCACCTCCCACTGGCCAGCTGGTTTTCGGTTTCTACTGTGCATGCATGGGGGTCGCCCATGCATGCGCGGGGTGGTA